AGACCAAAGAATGCCCAAGATTAAGAGACTTCGCTTGAGAGGTCCACAACCACTCAGTCGGGTATTGGGGTGTCACCTGGTGGCCAGGAAGGAAGGGAAGGCCCGAAAGCCCGATTTTGGGATTTCACAAGTGATGATCGTGGAGGTTCGGTGTCAATTGCGCAACAGCTGTTGGATCTGGAAGAAGGATGAGGGTGTGGTGGCATTGGCCAATCACCTTCAGCTCCAAGTTCAAGACGTCATTGTGGCCAGAGTCGTTGGTGCCACCACCGCACCGTCGCGCTGTGCCCTCCACCAAATCCCCACGGTCACCGGACCCAGATAAACCATCCCCACTGATGCCTCAGTAACCGTCCCTCCTCCAATCTTGCACACGTCAGACTGAGCGCAACTTTAAATATATATATAATTCTGAATCTCCTAAACGATCGCTTGCTGCTGACGCCTGTGATGTAGGTTCAGGAACCCACTTCCTCGCAACTGCCGTTGGTTTCGTGAATGTAAATCTCGCTAAGGTTGCGTTGTCCAGCCTCAAAAGTCCCTGAAAACTGCCAAACGCTGCCATGCCCCCTCCCCCAGCCTGAGCTCGCAGGTCTGCGTCATCCGCACGCTCAGTCTCTTGGGTGCGAATGATTCATTGTGATTCCTGGGAGTTGTCTGCACGGTTTTAATGAACACCGCTGAGCACAAACATCGAACAAGGTGGGATACAATCATCGGCCGGCCAAAGCGCCAGCCCTCAAAATAATTCGCTCCTGCAACACTGCAGTGTGGATGTATGTCGCGGCGTCTAAACGCGACTGCGTCTCAAACTGTGGGCATATGTATGGGCATCAAATAAGATGCACAAATATGTCAATCAGGAGAATGTAAATCAAATACGATGCAATGTGTCGGGACAACTGGAGGGTAATGGCACGACCAGGTGCATTATTTTATCCGGCAGCGGAGAGAGAATGGGAGGCCGGTGGTAGTGGCCACGGCATCTTTTTCAGGTAAAAAATCTCAACATTCGCGTTAGTCACACCGGGGCCCTGAAAATAAAAAAAACTTAAGTAAATTAAACTATTTTGTTTGTTATTTACCAAGTATGGCCCACTGAGCTGCATTTCTCTTTTTTAGAAGCGACTTGGCTATGACAAATGATAGTGCTTATCATATGGAAATGTAAAGCAAGTTTCGTTTGAGCAGGAAGTAATTTTGCATTAAGTAAACTAACATTTTTATTTTGCCAGATAAGGCCCACTGGAGCTGTAAAGCTCTTTTTCAGAAGCGACCTGGCCACAGTTATTAGCTCAACGAAGTGGCTTATCGTGTGGGAATGTATAGCAGCCAAATACTCAATTCGTGTTTCTAAATATGGAGTGAAAACCAGAGGACCCGGAAAAAAATCCATGCGACCAAGGGGAGAACATGCAAACTCCAAATATACAGGCGTCACCGTCGGAATCGAACCCACGACCTCCTGTATACCAAGCGAGGTAGTTAACATCTCACCACCCAAGATGACGTTTCAGGCAATTTGCCCTTTTTCATTCTATACGAAAGTATGTTTGTTTCTCCCTTCAGGCCGCCAGGGTGTTCTTGACGAGCGGGTTGAGTCTTGTAGTGGTTGTCCGTGGTTGTGCACCACTGCCAAGCAGCAGCAGCACCGTGTAGAGGAAGCTAAGGTGGGGCGCTGCTCACGCCGAGAAATATACAACACACGTGTGGCCGAGGAAAGCCAGCAGTTATCATCATTATCATCATATTCGTAATTAATTTCACAGCTAATTTGAAAAACAAATTTAACCGCAACCGCGGTCGTAAAAGTGCTCGTAATTGCTGACTTTAACAGATGCTAAAAGCGCCTCTCACAAATGTAGGGGGGGGGGGGGAGGGTGATTTAGGACGGGTTGTTGTGTGGTTGATGTTCATCGCTGCTCCGTCAGTGTTGGCTGTGCTTAATAAAAATGGCGAAATCACATTTTGTATTCATTATTTTCATTCCAGTTCATTGCTTTGTCACGCATTTGAATTTGATTCAAAGAACTGGGCGTGTAATGTGCTTGTGTTTTCTTCAATGTTTTATTTGACCTTGTTAAAAACAAGGTAAAACATGGGTTGTCGATTCCACGCGTGTGTGCGGCAGTGATTATCTCAAATTCATCTGCCAGTCATCTCAGTCAACCCATGGCACCTGGGTCTGTCCCGCGACCTCCTGTCAGCGAGCCTTTGACACTTCACGTGGCCTCGGAGTGCACCTAGCCTGGCACAAGCGCCGTGGTGACGTCACCGCCGCTTTGTGACGATTGGCGGGTATTGTTGTTGTCTTCTATTCAGACACCTTGAGACTGTGGTGGAAATTCCACATTCCTCTGGCAGAGGTAAGTAAGTCCACGCGACAACCACTGGTGACTTTCCGCAAGGATGGCGACTCTTCTGTATGAGCCCCAAGGGGATGAATCGGCAGAGTTGTCCCCAACTGGAATTTGAACTCGCAACCCTCTCGATGTGCGTCATGCAAGTGAAAGCATTGCACCAGCTGGCTCAGAGCATCATTGCCTGGCTTCATTGCTACAATTGAACGCGTAGGTGTTTGCATACATTTTTTGGGGGGTTGGGTAACGTGAGTTTAAGTACAATTACCACAACTACATTTTTGCAATTAGATACAAATTTTGTCGCGAGAATTGGTCTTCATTTTGCCGGTTAGCCGAATCAAAAATAATCTGTGCGATAAACGCTTGTAAACAAGAAGATGTAATGTGGCTATACCATGTGGTGGGGTTTAACGACACAGATGTGGACGGATTTCTACAAATCAAACGCGCATGAGTGATATCTCAACTGGCCCTGGGGTCCCCCTGTTCACAAATCCCTGCACTGACCAAGTGTGCCGAAGCATATCCAAACAATCCCCTTGAAATTACATAGCAGCAGATTGACAAAGGGCTGTAAATTATGATTACATTATTCCAACATTAACATTGGACGCAGGCAGAAAGGGTATAGAGAGAGAGAGAACAGATGAAACATTAATAAAAATACCACATTATTGGATAAATTAGTTCTGAAAATGCCTTCTCTCTGGTCTTCAGTGTGTACTTTAGAGGACCAATAATCTATCCGTGGAATTTCATGAAATTTTATTTCAAAATTTATTCTGACACAGCCCACGCCACACGCGGGTCCCTCTGGAGTCGAGAATCATCTTCGCATCTCTCGACACGTTTCATTTGGCCACACTGCCTCTTCCCAGAAATTACACGAATTGAGGGCAGGAAGGGAAAAAAATCCGTGGTATTTCACATTGGAGCTTTGAATTGTGCGGTTAAAGGTTGTTCAGGCTTTTAATACATCCACCAAGGTAAAACGTGATATTTTCACAAAATCCTTAATCGTCTGTGAAGTCGGATTTGAGATTAATTATTGTATGTGGTCTCTAAGTATGTTAATCACAGTTCATTAACAAAAGTAGTTTTATTTCTATTATTTGGTTGTGCTGCACAACTCTCTTGCTTATTTTCGGGTCATACAGCTTGTTGTTCGGCATGATGTCTGACGTTTCGCTCCATGTACTCGGGCTTTCTTTAGCAACTGAATTTGGTTTACATCGTATGATTATTAGGTTATGTTGTTAATTTTCCAATGTAAGATATAGGCCTTGGAATTAATCTGCTGTTCAAATGGGGAGCACAGGGGCTTTAAAGTCCACGCTGGGGTGTGAACATAAAAGACAGAAATTTACAGGGGAATTAATGAGACATTTTGCAAAATGTGTCATTTAAAATACAGTATAACCTTTAGTGATAATGCTTTGACTGTGAGGGCACTGATCTGCCCAATCAATCGTGCAATTAATCAATCGGTGCCCTTTTTACCATGACGAGGCCTCTTTGAGGTGGGCTGTTGTGTCATGGTGTGCATTTTGTATCTGCCGAGGGAAAATCAGAGAGATTCTTGTGGAAGGGAGGAACACTTCGCGAATTCACCGCGAGGTTTTGTGGCTGGGTGCGGATCAGCGTAATGATGTGGGACACGTGCCTCCTCGTTGCTCCGCCGACCTTTCAGCAACTTTGAAGTTCGTCCCCCGTCTGATCTGTGGCTTCCCGTGGCGTGGCCGCGTACGTCGCTAGAGAGCTCACGCCGTCGCCCCCCCCCCCATCCCACGTGCTCTTTTTTTACTTTCATCGAGGCTGGAGATGAGACGAGGTGAACTGGCCACAGTACCGAGCTGTGGAGGCAGATGGGGAAGGTATACGCAAGCAGATAATAACACACATCCAAACATCTCGCACACACACCCTCCCAAGATAAAACAGTGATATAAAATAGCAAAACATAAGCGGGCATCCAACAGGTACCGGGCACGCGGCCAAACATTCGAGCCGGCCAGGAGCGGGAGGGCGCGAGGAGAGAAGAGGGTTGTTGTCAGATGCACACCCACGTGGGCTGGAGGTGCCCTGGACTCGTCGCTGGTCCTGGGGCTGCGTGACATCTGTAACGGGGACGTAGCCGGGCGAGCAATTGGAATAAGATTTTCTTCGTGAAATCGCTTGCCAGCCAAACGTACAAACCTTAACTGTGACCGGGTGGGAGAAAAGGGTAACCGGAAATTAAGAGGATGTTTAGAATGTGGTATCGGCAGCCAGTCAATTATCAAGACACGGAGGCTTCAGTTTAGCAGGGCAGCCAATTACTTAGACATTCCAGAGTGGAATAGCTAAAGCAGTCGGATATAAAGACCTAAACGCAGACCGGTTAAGAATAGGGTACGGGAAAATGCGTAAGGCAATTAGAGATCAACGCATCCAGACAGCCAATTAGCAAGAAATTCGCGCGGTGAAATAGCCTGCCAGCCAGATATAGCGACTCTCACAGCAGCCGTGCCGGGGAGGGGACCGCAGAGCAACGCAACCAAAGACGTCGGCGCAGCAGAGGCGGGTGCGAAAAACGAGAGAGAGGGAGGGGAAAATCCGAAGGAATAAAAAATTCACAGCGCCGCCGTCCGCGCGCAGCGAGCGGAGTCGTCGCGTGCGCGGAGCGGACTGTGCGAGACCTCGCTCCGGGTCGACGAGCGGCGAGAGGAGGCGGCGGTGGCGGTGGCGATGGCAGGTGGAGACGCCAGGGATTATCTGGCCCAGCGTCAAATCCCGCAGCTCTTCGAGGTGAGCGTTCGCGACTTTGCGGCACTCTTGCTCATTGTGAGCTGAGCAATTTGCGATCTACTCAGGAAGATCGTCTGTGCCTATCTCTGTCGTTTTCCTTTTAATCTCTGTGGCTACCCACCCCCCCGCCCCCCTTCCACGCCAAAGGCATTTTCAGAAGGGGTTTGTGGGTTCGATGCCTCGCTGTTTTACCGAGGCTTGTACAACAACATGCATCTTCCCACAATATCAATGAGCAATACATTTTTGAACTCGGCAATAGTAGTCCGTGTCCTTACGCCGGTGCGATTTCCGTGCTGCGTTAACATGTGCTTCTGCATTATTCCCAGGTTTTCCTTACTAACGATGCACTCGCTGTCAGGGGGACTCCGCTGGCTGCAAAGCTCCATTCATTAATTCAGTGCCACTGGGGAGCAACTGTATGTACGTGTATGGTTAGCGCTGATTAACAGGTGGAATCGATGCTCAAGGCACGGTCTGTCTGTGTCACAGTGGGAAGAATGGAAAACGCAGTTTCATATTGGTTTGTATTTTATTCTGTTTATTTATTTATTTCATAGTTAAAGCCTTACCCTCCATCGTGGCTGAGTTGATTGGCGGTAGAAACGAGCGGCTCGCAGCCGGAAGGGTGCGAGTTCAAATCCTGATTCGGGGCGTTGACTCGGCCCATCATCCTTCTGGGGTCGATAAAGTAAGCACCAATTTGCGAGGAAGTGAACAGTGGTCGTCCAATAGAAAGACACACCCCCGCCATAGTAATGTTGAATTCCCACCACTGGCTGAGGGTTGTCAATGGGAGATGAGCATCAATGGCTCAATGCTCATTGAGCAGCTGTAAATCACTGTGGCTTCAACTCCATTGAACACAAGTGCAATATCTCTCTCACTCTTAAAATTTTAAATATTTTCCACCGTTTAAAATGTAGAGGAAATTACGATTTTAGATTATTTGCATGTAATGTAATCAACACGAGGCATCGTAGTTTAGTGCACTGCATGATGATGCCAGTGACCTTAATTGAATTTCTGTCCATGGTTATCATCATCAGCAGGGAAGGACATCTGGTCCGGGGGCCCCTCTGCATCAGCCAGCACTGACCAGCGTGGTGAAGTATGGCCAAAAAAAACCCCATGACTGACACAGTGCGAGGATGCTTTCCTCCCGTAGTGAATTGACAGGGCTATATAGTACATTATTCGAATTATTGTGATTGTCCTATGCGACATTTCCACCCATGATCTGGGACTGCTAACGGGAATGAACGAAGCCCAACAACACTATTTTGATCATCATCGTTCACCAACATTGTCCATCATCATCACTTTACCTGATACCTGTGCTCACCTACGAATCGCGTCTCGCGGTGGAACGACCACGACCTCTCTCTCAGTAACCCCCCCCCCACCGCCCCCCGTGGCCGTGCTCAGAGCATGCTGACGGGTCTCATCCAAGCCCGGCCCGACGACCCCGTGGGCTACCTGGAGAGCTACCTGCGAGGCGCGCGAGAGGCGGGCGGCAGCTCGGCGCAGGGCGGAGCGAGCTCCGCCGGTGGCGGTGGAAGCCCCGGGGCCATCGGCGCCCAGGAGGCCCCGGAGAAGCGCTGCCTGCCCCCGCTGCAAGGCAGCCAGGCGCCCAGGAAGCCCTTCCTACGCAACGGCAAGCGGCGCGATCGTTCGCTTGGACGACGACGGCGACGATGATGATGATGAGGCCGTAGCGGGCTCGAGCGACGCGTCATTGCGGCTCAGGCTGGAGCTGCTGCGTTGGTAGCCAGGTTGCTTCTGGAAAGAAGCTCGTGACTCAGTGGGATTTACCTGGTAAAATAAACGTCGAGATATACATACTCTCTGGTTCTCTCTGTAAAGTCACGTGGGTAGAAAAACTAATAAGAATAAAACACGACGTTTCGCTCGCAACACAAGCGGCCGTCTATAACTCCTCCTCCCCCCTCCCGTGCCTATATAAAGCCACAACAGCAGATCATGTTTCTTACCTGAAGACGGCCGCTTGTGTTGCGACCGAAACGTCGTGCTTTATTTTATTATTATTTCTACCCACGTGACTTTACCGAAAGATCCAGAGAGAATGGATTCCTGCAGTCACGAAAGCTTCAAATCATCGATATCTATATTTGTAGATGATTTGCTTACCTTTCCTATACTTTGCACTCCTATCGTGTTTTCGTATAGCTTGTTGTTGTAACTTTAGGACCGCCCCTACTGGACATCTGTGAAAAAGAGCTTTATAGCTCATCGGATTCCCCCTGCAGTGTAAATACATATTCTGATTCTGATACCAGTGGAAGTTGGTGCCACCCGCCACTTATTACCGCTGGCACTCCGCGGGAAGGGGGTCAAGAGCCAATGATGTAATGGATGGCGACAGGAGGAGGACTTGGGAAAGGAAGAGAGAAGGGAAAGACTGAGACATAGGAGGAAGAGTAACGGACAGTACTGGGCAAATGGGTGAGGAGAGACGAGGGTGCAAAGGGCCTCCTCGAGCAGCGTCTGTTTCCAGAGTGGGCGGGACGCGGAGTGGGGCTGGCCACACGGCAGGCACCTGGGCTGCTTGCGGCATGAGAGACGCGTTTGTCAGTCGGACAGGAGGAAGCACTTCCCACTGGTTCTATGATGAGACCTCGGCGTGTGTAGGGGCTGTCAGGAAGGAGTTCGAGCTGAGCATGCAGCTGATTAATGCAGGGGATGTGTGTTCAAATCTAGAATTAGGGATGTGTTTTCATCGGTCAGTTTTGACGAAACGAGTCGGGGGACTTAAGACAAAGTGGGGAGACATATAATGGGAAGTGGCCCGGCTGAGCTGTACGATTCATTGATGATCTAACAATTATGTGCAGTCGTCCTTGCACGCATTAAAATGTGTTAGATTCTAAAATATGTCTGAAAGCGTGATGACCGACAGTGCATGTGTTTTAAAAGCGATGTCTCACATGGCCTTCATGCTTCAGATGGATTGTAAATCACGCAGCAATGCCAGAGTGCCCTGAGTGTGCATGCTGCTGCTGTGTTAGCAGTGCCCTCATACATCGCCAGTGATTCTTGTGATCTTTCCCAAGTTTTCGGCATAATACCGAAAAACCTAAGAATATAATATTATTATAGCAATGTACGACATGTTTTTTTAATTTTATGTAGCACTGGTTGTTTATCTGTATTATTATTGTAAAAATGAAAGCGTTGATGCGATAGGTAGTCATGATGAAAATAATGATGGGAATAGTGGTGGTGATGATGGTAACAGCCATGTTTAAAAACTGGTAGTGATGGTGGTGACGATGTGGTGGTGATGGGGATCATGCGTGCGTGATGGTGGCAAGAGTGATGATGTTTAACTCATGATGATGATGACTGTGACGATGGGTCGGTGACACTGGTAATAGTGACGGTTCACGGGAGTGATGGTGGTAACGATGGTGATGTCGTGCCTGCTGCGTGATGGTGATGTCTGTATGTTGAACTTCTTTCGCACCGTACGTCGCCAACCGTGCTAATCGGAGGTGCATGGTGACGAATCGATGAGGACGACGACGATGATGAAGATGCCGTTCACGCTCTCAGCGTCCCTGATGACGGGGCCGAGTGATGAAGACGATGTACTGATGACGATGCATTGATGACGACGATGTATTGATGACGACGATGTGTTGATGACAATGTGTTGATGATGACGATGTATTGATGACGACTACGTGGTGCCCCCCCCCGCCGCCCCCTCTCAGAGCCCCCCGTTACCGGGCTGCGCGGCTTCCGGCGGCTGCCCCCCATCCAGCAGCAGTTCTCCATCGAGAGCGACACGGGCCTCACAGAGACGGGCGAACTCTCGCAGGAGCTCGACGTCTTCGAGCGCGGCCGCCCGCGCCCCAGGCTCGTCTTCGTCATCGGTGAGGGCGACGCCGCGAGCTCGCAGAGACAACGGGGGCTTCCAGTCCGGGCTCAGCTGTCCCTCAACTCATGCACCACCACCACCACCACCCCCTGTGGTGGTGGTGTTGGTGGTGCATCAGCTGTCCCTCAACTCATGCACCACCACCACCCACCCCCTGTGGTGGTGGTGTTGGTGTTGGTGGTGCATCAGCTGTCCCTCAACTCATGCACCACCACCACCACCACCCCCTGTAGTGGTGGTGGTGGTGCATCAGCTGTCCCTCAACTCATGCACCACCAACACCACCACCCCCTGTGGTGGTGGTGGTGGTGCATCAGCTGTCCCTCAACTCATGCACCACCACCACCCACCCCCTGTGGTGGTGGTGTTGGTGTTGGTGGTGCATCAGCTGTCCCTCAACTCATGCACCACCACCACCACCACCACCCCCTGTGGTGGTGGTGGTGTTGGTGGTGCATCAGCTGTCCCTCAACTGATGCACCACCACCACCCCCTGTGGTGGTGGTGGTGTTGGTGGTGCATCAGCTGTCCCTCAACTGATGCACCACCACCACCACCCCCTGTGGTGGTGGTGGTGCATCAGCTCTCTCAAGACAACTGATGCACCACCACCACCCACCCCCTGTGGTGGTGGTGTTGGTGTTGATGGTGCATCAGCTGTCCCTCAACTCATGCACCACCACCACCACCACCACCCCCTGTAGTGGTGGTGGTGGTGCATCAGCTGTCCCTCAACTCATGCACCACCAACACCACCACCCCCTGTGGTGGTGGTGGTGGTGCATCAGCTGTCCCTCAACTCATGCACCACCACCACCCACCCCCTGTGGTGGTGGTGTTGGTGTTGGTGGTGCATCAGCTGTCCCTCAACTCATGCACCACCACCACCACCACCCCCTGTGGTGGTGGTGGTGTTGGTGGTGCATCAGCTGTCCCTCAACTGATGCACCACCACCACCACCCCCTGTGGTGGTGGTGGTGCATCAGCTCTCTCAAGACAACTGATGCACCACCACCACCACCCACCCGTGGTGGTGCCTCGTAAGTCCTGGGCTCAATTCCCCCCAGGCGAGGCAGTTCTCTGTCACGTGATAACAAGTATTAGTAATATGACATTTAAGATGAATAACAAGAAAGCCACACTTACTCCGAAGACTTTTTTTGTATGCATGTGTGCTGAACCTTCTTTCGCACCGTACGTAGCCAACCGTGCTGATTGGAGGAGCGGGAAATGAGAGGTGCAAACGAACTCGGGAACGTACTCACAACAACAATAACAACTATTTTGTATCACAACAACAACTATTTTGGCACACGAGTAGCGGTGATGCGCCAGGGCTCCCGTGCCAGGCTAGGTGCTCCTCACGTTTGTGGCGAGCGGCGCCGTGCTCATCTGTAAAAAAGAAAGAGCTTTATAGCCCATCAGATTCCTCCATGATACATGCATCTTCTGATTCTAAAGCAGAATCTGGAGTGAGTGGTACAAGAGGCTGTCGTGCCATGTCGCTAGCGTCACGAGATTCTGTGTTGCGTGAGCTCCCGGCAGTATAGAGAGACGGGGGGGGGGGGGGGTTACAGCCCAGGCACCAATGAATAGACACAACACAGAGATTCTGGGTAAACATAACAAAGCTCATCATTTTAATTGGCACTACATTCTAATTAGCACTACAGTAATGCAATCATGTTAATTGGAATTATTCTATTAACCTAATTAGATTATGTAGCTTGGCATAATTAGATTATGTAGCTTGTCAAACATGTAATGTTTCTATTCAAGCGTTTAACCCAAACATAACTACAGATTTTGGTATTTAATTATTATTTAATGGACCGGCACCAGAAAAGTTGCAATCCTGGATTGGAGTCCGGGTTAGGTTCGAGTGCAGGGGTGGGTGTCTCTATGGAATCTGATGCCCAGGCCAGTGTCTCAATCCCTGGGTTTGAGCCCCGGTCTGGCACTCGGATAGAATTAATGATTTCCTTCAGACCCGGTTGATCCTTCAAACTAAAAATATATATCATGCAATACTTTGGACAATTTGGCCTTCAGTATAGAACATCAATACGGCACAATAGTACGACAACACAGCACGTACGTATGTTGAACTTATTTCGCACCGTACGTAGCCAGCCGTGGCTAATCGGAGGTACAGGGGAAGGACAACAATCTAAACACAAAAAGCAGTTCTAAAGAAATACGTTTTCAATCTATATTTAAAAATGCATAGCTCCAGTGGCTTCCTAATAAGGGAAGGAAGAGCGTTCCAGACGGCCGCAGAAGTGCATCTGAAAGCGCGCGATGCAGTGACATAAAATAAGTCGCCAAATAAATTGAGTGTATATGCGGTCGATTATCGATTATCAGATTGATTACTCGGCTAGTCGTATAACGCGACAATAGTCTGGACAACAACACGTCGTCAGCAGCAGGCGTTGGACTTGCGCCATTGTGAGATGACTGCTCTGGCGTGGACCCTCGTGGCGAGACACTCAACCATGAATGTGACATACATCATTCATGAGAAATATATTATCATCGTGAGCATCGTATTTATTTACACGTGCAAATGTCGTGGCCGCCAATTGCGAACCCTCCAGGGCATGCTGTGCAGATTTGTACACTCTCAAGAAGTTTTAATCCATCTGGAGGATGTAAAAACAGGGCAATGCGAGAATGTGAACGATATTACTGCGTTGTATTAAGGTATCTATGGAAGCGCCAGCACATATCAGTTTTTACTGCCAATTGGGCAGACCTTGATATGTTATTGATGTGCTCACTTTCAGATGCCACGACAGAGAAAGCCAAGAATATTAAATATGCCTTAGTTTGGTTTTCTATATTTAATCTCCTGGTTAATTGAAGGATATGAGAACTACAATACAGCTCTGTAAAGCTGGATCGTTAAAATATACGGCCTGTGTTGTTCCCGAGAAATGTATTCTCTAAGCGTTTACATATCTGGAGATATCCATGTCATTGTCCATGGATTTTTCTGTCCTGAATCGAGTTGCTTCAGATAATGATCTGACTGCAACTGCAAATCTTGAGAAGCTGAGTTCCATTATCATGCTATCTGATGGTGGCCTAGCTGATGCTCACTCGTCATACTCAGCGTCTTACTTGTGCACTCAAACTCAAATTCTGGGTGCCGTGGTGGCTAGGAGACGTTAACTTCCTCGCCTGGTATGCAGGAGGACGTGGGTTCGATCCCGACCCTGACGTCTGCTGCTGTATATTTTGAGTTTGCATTTTCTCCACGTGGTCGCGTGGATTTTTCTCTAGTTCCAGTTTTTCCCTCCAGATTTATAAACATGCGTTTAGAGTATTTGGTTGCTATAAATTTCCACACGATAAGCCACTTCGTTGACCTACCAATTATGGCCAGGTCGCTTCTGAAAAAGAGCTATACAGCTCAGTGGGCCTTACCTGGCAAAATAAATAATTGTTTAGTTCAGTCAAAAAATGATTTCCTGCTCTAAACGACACCTGGTAACATGCTTGCCAACCATTTCAATGTGCTATGAAGAAGGGCCATTGCCCGAAACGTCGCCTGTAACATATGTTAACTTTTAAGGCCACACTGTTATTCATGAATGGCACGCGTTGCGTGTTTTGTTGATCCACTTGGACATCCGATGACTTACGACTCCCGTTGCGGCTGCTCGGCGTTGATATGTAATCAGAGCGCGGGGCGTGACCACCAGTCCCCCAGGGGAGCACGAGGCCGTCGGCCTGTTTCAATCACCACACACAAATCATCGTCTTGCTCGGTCTCATCTTTGTAGAGCCTATTGACATGCGAGTGCAGTTTAGACACGACAGCAGATTCCTTGAACTTGTTGTTGTTGTTGTTGAAACTCATTGGCGGACAGGCAATGTGCACATTCCAGCAGCTATCTGCTTGTTCAGAGCTTACTGTTGACCTTTTATATAATTTATATATTTTTAACCTTCATTTGATTAATTTCAGTGGCATCCACAAACACTGGCAGAGCAGTGGAAATTGCCCAGTGTCTTGCCAGCCACCAATCACTTGCTGAATCACGGCGTGACAAAAACAATAACTTACAGTGCCAATCCACTGCTGGATGAATGCCTCCTCACACCACCGTGAACATGCTTCCCCATGCTCGTCACTACGGGTCGGTGAGGTGCAAGGGCTCGTACCGGATCGGACGCCACTCGCCGCTCTTGTTTGCTGTGGTCAGGAATCGAACTCGGGTCACTGCGTCGTTCATGGTCCAGAATGCCAATGACTGCTCTACTGTCGTCTTCCCGATGGCATCACACGCAAAGTGCTCGCAACACAAATGAACCACAATGCCTCGCTGATCTCGCCAAGGAACATAAACCATCATCACACGAACTCCGGGCATCCTCGGAGCAGCGCCCTTTGGCTGCCGGTCACTGCATCGCGATGCGCTTTCAGTTGCGCTTTTGCCGCCGTCTGGAACGCTCTTCCTTCCAATATTAGGGAGCCACTGGAGCTATGCACTTTTAAATCATCTAGCTAGACTGAAAACTGCATTTTGTGTTAAGATTGTTGTCCTTCTCCCATACATCCGATTAGTACGGTTAGCTACGTATGGCGTGAAAGAATTTCATCATACATACGCACAGATTTAATTTCATAAGTTACTCAGATTAAACTCAGCCTGTGCGGTCCACTCCGATACCACAGCGGCTGTAGAGCGTGGGTCCGTAGACCCCGCCTCCCCAGTTGAGGAATTATGGCCGGGACGTTTTAAATGTGGAGCGATTCCTCAACGAGCATTAAGCCACTGACGCTGCAGCAGCAGCGGTATAATGGGGAGCACACTGATTGGACTTGCAATCCAGAGGTCACGATTTTCACCAAAGCTCTTCTCGGGGAAAGGGAGTGGGGTGGGGGGGGACACTGAGACAGCTTTTCTGAAATCACCGGGGCTGTCTGGGCCGCACCAGGATGCATGCCGTCTAGCCAAGTACGCTGTCAAGAACCGGCACGGTTCAAACTGGCAGAGGTGCAACCTACCTTGGAGGCTACTAAGCCCTGAAGAAGGACCGACGCCTGAAACGTCACCTACTACCGTATATGTTTTACTTTCAAGGCTACATACTTGGTGTTAGTATTGATGAATGTGGTGAGTTTATTATTATCAGAGTATATTTTTATATTCAGCTTTGTTGTAATGACTTGGTTTATTGTTTGTGCTTTTTGTTTTGGTGTAATTTCTTAATTTGTTCATTAATTTAATATTTTGCTTGCTAATCGGGCTTTCATTTGCTTGGTAGTGCTTGTGTATGTGATTTAGTCTATGTACATAATTCTTGTACAGCATTATGGGGAGCTATGAAAGTATTATTATTGGTGGTAGCGTCCACTTGTGTGTGTGTGACAATGAGGCTTGTGAAGGACGCTTACTGGTCAGTTGGAGGCAGTCGCCCTCCAACAGTAACGAGGGCAGGAGAGTGACGCTCGCAACAACGAGAGGAGCGCCGATGGATACAGTGCAGCAAGTGGGGACAGTCGGCTGCACAGCGTGCGTTTGCCAGTGATCTCAGTCAATCAGCCCATGGCACCTGGGTCTGTCCTGTGATGATCTCCTGCCAGCAGCGAGCCGTCGACACTTCACGTGGGCTCCAGGTGACGTCACTCATTGGTATCGGTGTTGACGATGACCGCCAGGTGGACCGGGCAGCGGCAAGGGCACGCAGAGCCGCAAGCTGAGCGAGCGCTACGGGCTGCTGTGCGTGTCGCTCGGGGAGGTGCTGCGTCAGCACGTGCTGCAGAGAGCGCCCAGCAACCGCAAGTGGAGGCTCATCGCCCAGATCATATCCAAGGGGGAGCTCGCTCCGCAGGTGACCGGGAGGAGATATCGGAATCGAGATATTCCCAGATGATAATTCTGAAAACAACTCATAATAATGGACCAGTGATTCCATGTTCCTATGGCGAGTACATTCCAATGACAGTCGTTGTTTCAATCAGAATCATCCATGTCATTAGCACAAATTCACGTAAACGTGTATTTGTTTTACTAAATGAGAACTCAAGAGATAAAGAAGTCTCATTTTCAAGAGTGGCCTGGGTCTTTATGTATGTTGAACTTCTTTCGCACCGTACATATCCAGCCATGCTAATCGGAGGTACGGGGCAACACAATTACAAGAAAATCAAAGCAAAAACAACTAAATGGAAAGTAGTGTAAAAACCACCGCATCACAGGAGACATCTAAAATACGACCCCGTGTCGAGGTGGTGACATGTTTATTACCGTGGCCTGATGTACAGGAGGTCACGAGTTTGACTCTGACCCTGATGCCTGCTGCGTATTTGGAGTTGGTATGTTCTCCCTGTGGTCGTTTGGATTTTACTCCACGTCTCTGGGTTTCCCTCAACATTTAGAAACATGCGTTTAGGGTATTTGGCTGATATGCATTTCTACAGGATATTAAAGCCAATTCGTTGCACAATCATTTGTGACCAGGTCGCTTCTGAAAAAGAGCTATATAACCCAGTGGGCCTTACCTGGTAAAATAAAAAAAAATTGTTTAGTGAACATAAATTAACATTGTAACAAAAATTCGTGTAAGATGAGTTGCATCGGACAGATGACGTTTGAGACTGTTGGGAGTGCGGTTACGTTACAGGTTCCACGCTCGTTTGGTAACGCCACTCTCGGTCGGTCCCCTTTCCTCTCGGATGGTCCACGACTTTCACCGCTCTGCTGTTTCTTTGGTCGTCCAGGAGACGGCAATTTGGGAACTGAAGCAACACTTCCTGCAGAACCCGGACGCCCCCGGTTTCGTTATCGATGGCTTCCCCCGAGAGATTTCACAAGCTCTGGCCTTTGAGGAGCAGGTGAGTGGCCACCGGCCTCGTGTCTTCTTCATCCCGACGCTCATCAACAACAACAACAACGGTAATGCCATCATGTTCAACAGAAGTGGCATCATCATCATCGTCACAATCATCGTAAGCATCATCATCATTTGGAGAAACAATAAATAGCGGGAGCATTAAAAAATATATAATTCGTTGGAGCATCATCATAATCAGCAGGGGCATCATAATAAGCATCATCATTATCATAAACTCATCATCAGTAGCTGCAAAAGCAGCATTCATCATCAAGATCATAATTTATTGTCACTGAACAGTTAGAAGGTCCCGAATTATATTTGTATGCCTGCTTGTGATGCATATGCTCATGTAAACTTAGGAGAACCATATACGTTACAGTTATGGCTAAGTGCACCACTATGGCACTCGCAGAAACTTCAGCGTAACATCGCTGCCTGCCATTTCAATACAATGGATTCAAGTCCTTGGACCCCAGTGTGTATGGCTGCACCGTCTCTTTAATTATCCCCGTGTGTGTGAGTGTGGAGATCCCTCTCTGAAGAACTCTCAAGTCGCATGCAATTGGCAGAAAACTTGCACATTTGGAGCATTTTTCAGTTTCATACCAACAAATGAAAATATATCACGTGTTCCTCGATGCATTCCCGTGGCAAGGCCACGATTGAGATTTGGGCGATGATAATGAGAGCTCCGTGAATCCTGAATGTGCCTTCGTCTTGTTCTAAGAGCTGCGGCAAAACTCATCTGTGTTCTATTCCATGAAGCGGTGTTAGTTTGCGGATGGCGACTGCTCATGTTTGCTAGTAATTTATGCATAGAATGCATTAATAGAAATTAAACCATAAAAACCAACATTCACAACGACAGCACGGAGTCTCGCACGACGACCTTCTGCGCAATCCGCCTCTTGCTTCACTATTGACGTTAAAACAACCGACACCGCGATTCTGACCTTCTGCGAGCCACCCTCTAAGCTGACCCCTTGACCCCCCCCCCGCCCACCACCCACACGGCGAGGTGGGAGCCCCGGACGCGGTGATCCTGTTGGCGTGCGCCAGCGAGCGTCTCCGCCAGCGCCTGGGCGAGCGCGCCGACCGGCACGGCCGCCCCGACGACAACCCTCGCGCCGTGGAGCGCCGCCTCGCCACCTTCCGCCAGCACACCGTGCCGCTGGTGCAGCACTACCAGGAGCGCGGCCTGCTCCTCACCGTGAGCAGGGGAGGCCGGCAAGGGGGGGGGGGGGGTGGGGGGAGGAGAGGTGCCTTGGGGGTGGCGGTGGTTCAGCTTTGTCCATTGCAGTGCATGCCAGTGAATCAAAACTATAAACACAGAAGGGTGAGCTCGTGATCCTGCCTGCATTCGTGCTCATTAAGAGACTTTACCGCGTCGCAAGGAATGGCAATGACTGGTGTGCAGGCGGCTGTGATTAGTGCCCACAGCACCTCACGGGGCTGGATTAGGGTTAGTTGTATTTTAAACTATTAAAACATATTTATGTTTGTATATATATGTTGAACTTATTTCGCACCGTACGTAGCCAAACACATTCATCAGAGTTTTACCAGGTAAGGCCCACTGAGCAATATACAGTAGCTCTTTTTCAGAAGCCACCTGGCTACATATGATAGCTCAACGAAGTGGCTTATCACGTGAAAATTTATAACAGCCAAATACTGTAAATGCACGTTTTAAAATGTGGAGGGAAAACAACTGGAGGACCCGGAGAAAAATCCACACGACCGAGAGAGACACCCAAACTCCAAATATACAGCAGCAGGCATCAGGGTCGGGATCAAACCCACGACCTCCTGTACACCAGGCGAGGCAGTTAACATCTCCTAGCCACCGTGATGATGATGAGAGAAAGACACGCAAACTCCAAATACACAGCAGGCGTCAGGGTCGAACCCACGACCTCCTGTACACCAGGCGAGGTAGTCAACATCTCCTAGCCACCGTGATGATGATGAGAGACACGCAAACTCCAAATACACAGCAGGCGTCAGGGTCGAACCCACGACCTCCTGTAGACCAGGCGAGGTAGTTAACATCTCCTAGCCACCGCGGTGTTGCTTGGCATGGGCCCTCATGAATGAAATGGAGCCCTCGTCCCTGCCCAGCCGCCGCCCTTGTCACAGCCCGGCACTTGGGCCCTTCTGGACTGTGGGTCCTGGTGCAGTCGCACCGCCTGCTCGCCCGTCCGCTACGCCGCCGACACACACCACTGCCGCTGCGCATTTACGTTGGCAGATGACGGTGACCACGAAAGTCGTTTACATTTTATTCCTAAGAACACTAGGAGGGGATGACGGTCAGTGGGCGAGAAGTAAGGACAGAATGGCATCCAGGGGAGGGAATGTGCTCGAGGGGACGTCTGCCACGGAGATGAAACAATGAAATCAGTTCGTGTGCGGGTGTTAGATGGATTGTTACATCGCAAGATTGTGTGAAGAGATGGCAATGGCTTCCAGCAGTGGATTCATTACCGATGCTGCTGATGATGTGGCTCTACATTTAACGTTTTGTCAGAATTTTCCTTTTTAAAAACCACAGCTCGGATTTTAATGAGCGATAGCTAGCATGAAATGTCTTATTCCAATTAAATATATACCTACATGAACTGAACACGTGGATGTATGCTATACATTAAAAAAACACATATGAAAGAAATATGTAAAACATGTTGGCGAGATTGCCTGCAGAGCCTTGCGGCTTGATGTCACTGTCATTCAGGCTTAGGTGGAACACGCAAATTGGACCGGAGTCATCGTTAGGACTCGCACTCTCAGCCGCTTGTGCTGGGCGGATTGCCTGTCTCGTAACGATTTGCTCTGACCTCGGTGCTCTCACCCACCTGCCCCCCACCCCCACGGCTCACCGCGGAAGTTCGACGCCGACCGGGAGGAAGGGGAGCTGTTTGGCGACATCGGCGCGGCGGTGGAATCGCGTCTCTTCTGCAGCACGACTCCTGCGGCCGGTGAGACGCGGCGGCAAGTGGCAGCGTCAACGTGGGGAAAGGGGCAGCAACAAAAATTGATTTTTTTTTTCTCCAAGACTTTAATTTTTGTTGTTATTTTACAAATGTTATCCCCATTGCGCCATCGGTTGCATGTCTTGGGAACGAGAACCCATTCGCAACTGGCATAGACAGCAGTTGTTTGAGAATGCCCAACGAAAGCAGCTATCGCAGAACTACCGCTAAGATCCCTTCAAGCGAGTTCTTGTTCACACAGTAGAGCACAGCAATTCCCCCCCCTGTTCTGCCACACAGAGTAATGTTCATCCACGTGGACTTTATCCAAGTTATGTGCAGAAGAGAATGTAATGCGATGGGTTTTTTTGTGCAGTCATCTGTGAGCAAGGCAGAGACCATCAACTTATGTCACTTGTGAACCCGGTTTAATCACCAGCATCTCAGCGGTGCCAGCTCAGCACTCTGACCTCTAAGCCGCCCAGCCACCACTGAAGATGATTGATTTTATTCACCAATTACAGAAGACTCAATTGTAATATCTATATTGTACAATTTTTTTATTACGTGCTATCACAGAAGATTGAGAATGAAGCACATGTAAATGTATGTATGTTGAACTTCTTTTGCACCGTACGTAGCCAACCGTGAGAATCGGAGGTGTGGGGGAAGGACAGCAAACTAAACGCAAAAAGCGGGTCTAAAGTAATGAGTTTTCAGTCCAGATTTAAAAGTGCATAGCTCCAGTGGCTTCCTAATATCGGAAAGAACAGCGTTCCAGACGGCCGCAGGAGCGCATCTGAAAGCGACGCAGTGACCGTCTTTGTTCGATCTATCACAAGCCTACAAAATAAACGGGCAAGAGTCTGTCCACCTCTGCATAATGATCAAATAAAATTTAGACCATCAGCCTATGGGGCTGGACCAATGTTTTCCTGTAAAATTTGGTCAAACAGGAAAACCCTGGAGCAGTTGCAAATAAGTCTCATCAGCAGCGCATGGCCTCTTATATTGCTTTTAAGTATTTTATATATCTATATAAAAACAAATTCAAACGTTTTGGTAAAAACTCTGGAGAAAATTGCATTTAAATTGTAAAGAGAGGAACTACCAATTGGTGATGTTTCAAGCTACAGGGACACAGAGCAATCTGAGTTGCATTCGCGAATGCTGCTGGGTTAACTGGTGAAACTGACTCCACGCTGTCATTGTGGGTAATACACTGGTAAATAAACAAGAGCGTCTGTTGAATGATACAAAAAAGTTAACTATTTTTAATTTTACCAGGTAAGTCCCACTGAGCTATAGAGCTCTTTTTCAGGAGCGACCTGGCCACAAAACATAGCTCAATGAAGTGGCTTATCATGTGGAAATGTATAGTAGCCAAATACTCTTGATTCTAAATCTGGAGTGAAAAACCAGAGGACCCGGAGAAATATCCACACGACAACGGAGAGAACATGCAAACTCCACGACCTCCTGTATACCAGGCGTGGTAGTTAACATCTCACCACAATGGCGACCCAAAAAGTTATTAACCATTCCGCGCATGAATAAAGGTATTAAGATGTTCAAACACCAAGTATACATTTATTACACCGCTGATTAGCAGGGTTGGCTACGTACCATGTGAAGGAAGTTCAACATACATACATATCCATTCATTTGTGGTTAATGCAGACTTGATGCCTTGTAACAGATGTCTATTTGGTGTTTGAACATTTTAACACCTGTATTTATGCGAGAAATGGTAAAGCCTTTTATCATTCAATATCTTGATAGTGGCAAAAAGGGTCCCATAGATAAGGGCCTCTCGTATGCTTATGGGTTTTCTCAAGAAGCGCCAGTTTACACCCAATAATGATGAATACAATCATATAAGCCTAGCAATGCCCATTGTTTATGCAGAAAAACACTTTTTTCAGGAGGATCTCGCATTGGGATGTTTTGGCCGACCATTCGTGAGTGTTTTACGTGGGAAAAATATTGGGCAAAGACAAAGGTGCAGGTCTGCAAACGCTTGCTCACGCCACTGCCGCACTTCGAGAGAGCCGCAGAGAGCTCATCTGGGGGGTTTTTGGCTCGCTCTTCCCCGTTTGGAAGAGGTGGGGTACCCACCCTTTCCCCCACCACACACGACTTGCCGATCGAATCACTGTGCTGGTGAATCCAATTTATCCACTGGGTGGATGGAGGCAGTGAGTGGGATTTAACAGGCTTGCATTGTCGAACGTCTGGGTTGCAAGTGTAGTGGGCTAACGATCACACCACGGCAGCATCCCTGGGGGATAACAAAAAAAGGAAGTTCGTTTCCAGGACAAACCAAAAAAAACCTTGCACACTCGAAAAGAAAACCGTGCAGACAGGTGACAAGCCTGCTTTTTGTACTGCAGCCTCCTGGCCAATGAATTGTGGCTGGGTAAACTATCACAAGCCTACTGCAAAGAGTTGGATTGCAGGCATTCACCACCATGTTCGAAACCATAATATATTCTGAGGAGCGTGACACTTTCATTTTTTAATAATTCCAGATAAATACGTAATGTCACTGCCGAGACACGTGGGAACAATGTCGGCTCGCTTCTCCTGACGTGTGCCCGGGATTTTGGGCTGTACGCGCCGCATAACCCAAACACACACACCAGCGAGATGTGCAGCACAGCCGCAAATTGGACATTTCTCATTCGCTGAGAATATAAAACCACCTCGGTTCTGAATTTCCTTGCAAACAGGGACATTTCGATTTAAAGCTTTCGTGACTGCAGGGATTCATCTTCTTGGTTCTTTCGGTAAAGTCACGTAGAAGGGAAGTAATAAAATAATAAAAATAAAACATAATAAAACAATTCTCACGACGTTTCGGCCACAACGCAAGCAGCCGTCTTCAGGTGAAAACCAGGTCCGTCGAGGCGACAGAGTCTGAATGAAACAGCACACGAGCTTGGAGCATATATATAAGCTGGGCGCATTGACAAAGGAATTTGCATATCAAAAGGAATTTAGCATATTTATGGGAAATGCAGGAATGTGATTAGTACTGCATATGCATGTGCATTATGCAGGATTAACAGCATCAAAGGGAGCTGCAGTTACTGCTGCTGCTGCAGTTGCTGCTGCTGCAGTTTCTGCTGCTGCTGCAGTTGCTGCTGCTGCAGTTGCTGCTGCTGCTGTTACTGCTGCTGCTGCACTTGCTGCTGCTGCTGCTGCAGTTGCTGCCTTATCCATTTTAATATAACACTATGTATTATTCTACCCACCCTAATGTGTATCACACTGCTATATGTTTACTATACAATTACGACACCATACATTACTCTGCACACTGCACCATGCCAGTGAGTGGAACGCGGTCTGAAAGTCACCGTAAACGTGAACACAATCAGTTAAGATCCGAAATGGTTTATTACGTCCTTCCAATGATTGCTAAGCCAGAATCCATCTTCTCGGTTGAAATTGTCTCTGTGTTTGTATATGTGGATCGCCTCATGAACGAATCTCTCATGATAGCCAGATGGCTTGCAGAGAACCTCTGTCTTGGAGAAGTCAATATCATGTGAGCCCACTGAGTTGTAACAGTGATCTGCCACGGCTGAGGTGTTTGTCCTACCGTGTTTCAGGTCTGCCTTATGTTCACGGATGCGGTCCGAGACATGTCGTTTGGTTTCTCCAATGTAACTGCTACCACAGAGGCAACTTAGTTTGTAGACGCCAGGGTACTGTATGTCTGGAACCACATCTTTTACAGACGGGACCAGATCACGGATTTTATGTACTGTGTTGAATCGGACCTGGATCTTGTGTTTAATCAGGATTTTGGAGATCTTTTTTGTGACCCCAGCAATGTAGGGTAAGGTGATGGTCTTGAAAGGCTCCTCAACAGGATCCTTCTTGATGGTTGGAGTGATGGCTTTGCGGATTGTGTAGTCGGAGTAACCATTAGCCTTAAGAGCTTGGCGTACGTGTTTGAGTTCACTGGAAATGTGTTCATGGTCGGAGATGCATTGGGCTCTATGATATAGAGTCTTGATGAGGGAATTCTTCTGGGATGGATGGTGGTGGGAATCCGGTTTTAGATAAGCATCCGTGTGGGTGGCTTTCCTGTAGACAGAGTGGCTCATTGAACCATCAGGTCTCCTTTTGATTAGGACATCCAAAAAGGGTAGCTTGCCATCATTTTCGACTTCAGGGACAGTTTTAGAAGAGAACATTTTTATTTTCAGGCCTTCTAAACAACCGAAGTCTAGACGTTAGTAAAGTTATTGAAGGCCGACAGACGATAATAGTAAAATATATTTTATTTTTCGATTTAAAGCTTTCGTGACTGCAGGGATTCATCTTCTTGGTTCTTTCGGTAAAGTCACGTAGAAGGGAAGTAATAAAATAATAAAAAATAAAACATAATAAAATTATTCTCACGACGTTTCGGCCACAACGCAAGCAGCCGTCCTCAGGTGAAAACCAGGTCCCTTCTACGTGACTTTACCGAAAGAACCAAGAAAATATTTTATTATTTATTTCAAAACCTATAATGTTACACAATACCGTATATTTAGTTATTACACGCGTAGTGGATTCCACTGAGGCACACACTTGACTTTGGAGGCAACACGTTCATTATAACACCCCAACAGGGTTTCTACATAAACGTACACAGTTACTAGACCCCAAAAGGGCAACTACACACACGAGTGAGGTCAGCAACACACTGCCTGACCCACGATGCCGAGCGTAACGACTGATGACCGAAGACCGAAGAGACGTAGCACCGAGGGTTCCATTCCAGCAGACAGCCACGATTGCTCTCGGGACCTCCCTTTTATGCTCCCAAGCGTGGCCACGCCCCCCTTATGGATCTCACCAGAAGGTTCTCGACCCAGCACCACGTGTCCTTCAAGCCACCCTTTGGGCCCCCTCGCTACCCTGTCCCGGTCTCGTGCCCTCCCGGGTTCACCCAGACTGTCACGTCCTCACTTGCCCTCTCTCTGACTTTCACTAGAGCCGTGACC